CCCCAAAACCCCAAAACCCCAAAACCCCAAAACCCCTCATAATATATATAAGATTGAAGTTTAAATTTTATAAAAACAATGCAAGAGGAAGGAACTGAACTTTCAGAGGTATTTACAATCCAGAAGTATGCTAGAAATCAGAAAGATTTCAAATCAAATATGGTAAGGTCAAGAGAATACAGGAAGCGTAGAAAAGAGTATATCACCAAACTAGGTACATATCGGAGTTAACTTTTAGAGCAAGCTAATAAGAAGCTCTCTGATGAAAATATTATCTTAAAATAAGGAAAATGAAGAGCTTAAGAAATTGGTCCAGAAACTACCTCCTCCATCTCACCAAGAGAACGATATCAAATCTCGGATAGACAAAAATGAGCATTTTGCTTATTATAAGATCCCGAAGATGATGAGTGAGGATCCAGACAGAGTCAGGCTCACCCAGATAGCAATGGCATGTAACGATAATAGCGAGTGGAACCCAGATAGAATTACTATAATTAAAAAGGCCTTCAGAGATATCATCCATTATTTACTTTCTAAGGACAACAAATGCTTCGTAGCAGCCTGTAAGAATTCGAAGATGAGCCAATGCATTAAGAAATTTGGCAAGAAGAGAACAATTAAGGGGAAAATGAAGGATGTGGAAGGAGGAGAGTCAAAAGAACTCGGCTGAAGTGCTAATTTAGGATATCTCCCGAGTTTTTCAGATTCGTTAGTTGAGTATTTGAAAGCTAATGGAACGGAGTATTGGAAAACTACGAAAGCTAATAAGAACTTAGTAAGAAAATTGATCACTGTGAGGAACGAGATCTTACAAAATATATTGAAGAAAGGAAAGTTCTTTGAAGAATCGAATATTAGTCAGGCATTAGTAAAGGAAGATTTTGCTTCAATTTGAGAGCTGGTTGGGAGACTAGATGGTACAAAATATCTTTCTCCTCATTATTTATGGGAGCTCCCGGTAAGAGATCCTGACTCTGATGAATACAATGGGTATGAGCTTTCTGAATAGTGACTTTAAGCTCTTTGCTCTATTAAACTTTAGGAATTTTAGAATAATTATATAGTTCGCAATTTTGAGCCGCTTTCTAGGGGTTTTGGGGTTTTGGGGTTTTGGGGTTTTGGGGTTTTGGGGTTTTGGGG